AGGACCCTCTATGTCGTTCAATTCAAACAATGCTGAACTTTTGTTCAGCATTCTTAGGTAATTTGAATGACTACTTCTGTGAAAATGCAATTTCCACCCCCAAAGACAATGCAAATGTTTAGTAAATCTCATTAGAGGGTGTTTAGACAAAAGAGATAAGAATGACACGGCGGGACAATCAAATGCCTCCAGCTGCGCTCTCCTGTCATCTTGATGTCTGACACGTAAACATTTAACCTGACTGCTTGTCAGAGTGTTCCACTAGGTTAATGGAATAAATTGTCTTATCACGCCGACACCTTCGCGCACGGCTTCTGAATGTAACGAGCGTCGTCTTGTATGGCAAATTATGTCACAATCTGACGAGCTGTAAAATGACTGACAGACATATTTTATTTGCGTAACAGCACCCGCTTTTCCGCTTTCAATTACACCTGCCGCTGACTTATGTTTTTACTCATGTCTGCGGTATGCACAAACTACTTAGGCATGAATAACATTTGAGCTGTGGCATATAATGATACTGGATAGTTATTGTACTGTGATTGGAAAAAAAAAGTCTACCATGCAATATTACCCTCAATCCCGCAGGTGTCAAACTCAAGGCCCGGGGGCCAGATCCGGCCCACCAGGTCATTTTATGTGGCCCGAGAAAGCAAATAATGTGTGTCAACTTGCAAAAATCTGTACCGAAATTTCAAATTGTCATGTGTAATAAATAACTAGTTTTCACTCACTTGAACAATAATTGAACAAACTATTATAATTGACTTGACTGATTTCAAAACTAGAAATCAATTATTTTTTTGTGTACAAGTAGTAATTTTGTGGTTTCACTGTGATGACGGCCCTCCAAGGGAAGACGTAACTCCAAATTGGCCCGCGACTAAAATGAGTTTGACACCCCTGCTCTATATTATAATTGACTTGACTGATTTCAAAACTAGAAATCTATAATTTTTTTGTGTAAAAGTAGTAATTTTGTGGTTTCACTGTCATGACGGCCCTCCAAGGGAAGACGTAATTCCAAATTGGCCCGCGACTAAAATGAGTTTGACACCCCTGCTCTATCCGTTATGAGATGTAAGCTATCAGGTTAGTACTGTTGCTGCACGAATGTAGCATCTGAAACAGTAACACAACGACACTCACATTTTTATTACATCGTCCTTGTGCCTCACTCCCCAGGTATGATACAAAACGACCATATTATGATGTAAATTTTCTTGATGATGTATAGAATATAGCGGGGGGGGGGTCACTTTTAAGATCGACCAATAACAAACACTGAAGTACGTAAGCTATCGGGTTAGTACTGTTGCTGAACGAATGTAGCATCTGAAACAGTAACACAACACTCACATTTTTATTACATCGTCCTTGGGCCTCACTCTCCAGGTATGATACAAAACGACCATATTATGATGGAAATTTATTTTCTTGATGATGTATAGAATACTGTATAGTGAGGGGGTGGGGGGGGCTGTCACTTTTAAGATCGACCAATAACAAACACTGAAGCTGGCAAATTGTTATGAATGTGCATTTCTCGCAATTTTAATTTGAAGTTCCTTCCTCTGTATTTAGTTTCCTCATGTATACGTTCACAATTTAAAAAAAAAAATTCCAAGATAATTGAATGAACTAAATGCACCGGTTCATACATACTGTTTACAGATCTATCAGTGAAAGCAAGAAAAACCCTCATGCATTCATTTATAATGTGATAAGCGGCGGGCCCAGAAGCCTGCTGAGAAATAATTTCTTGTGTAAGCGAGCGAGGCAATTGTGTTGCAGCAAAGAGGGGGAAAAGGACTCGTTTAATGGGGAAAAATGAGAGCCAGGGTAAAAGTTAGCAGCAGCCCACATAATTGATGGAAACAGTTTGGTACCGGATTAAGATTCATGCCGAGGACCACACATGATGTTCGGAAAACGGTGTAGGCTGGAGGCATAAAGGGTATCTGGCCTTCTGGCTTAATTGATAGAATGCCTTCTCAATGCAATGGAAAACAACAAAAAAAAAAAAAAAACAAGGGGGGAAACAGTGGCATGAGCCCAGAGGCAAGAGAAACAGGTTTAGACATGGCCCGGGGTGGGTCAGTCCTTTCAATCCCTTGACTGGCGAGAAAAAGTCTTGCTTGCTTTGGGTGTATGAGAAACACGCGCAGAGCCTTGGCAAGTCCCCTTGAGGAGCCTTTCAGCATTGCGCATGAAACACAACTGGACCAGCAGAACTGCTCTATGGCCAATTGCTACAAAAGAGAGTCCGTGCAGTGAATCTGACTATGTGTATGAAAGCTAATAAGGCTTTGGCCGCATGGAAAAGCTCATCTAAATGCTTGTGCTTTTTAATGCCATTAAAGCCCCTTTGGCCCTTCCCCTCAGGCAGTGCTTATGGAGATAGATAGCCCACAGATGAGCAAGCCACGCAGTAGCTTACACTCTCCTATTAGGTGTTTTAATAGTAGCGATTCATAGGTTCATCCATCGTAGATATTACAAACAGTGACATGAATGTGATTTATGTTGTATTGGAAGCTCTGGAAGGAGGCTGATATGAGAATTTGAAAAAAAAACAGAGAATAGAACAGAATAAAATGAGAGAATCAAGTGTTGTAATTGTTGCATAAGCAATACAAAAAGTATACAATACAACCCATCCGCGCCTCTTGTCGATCCGTCAATCGATTCGAACTTTTATTTTCATTTTACGCTCTGGTGGTAGAATCATAATTGCTGATAGTAGCGCATCATCATTTAAAATTTGTTGACACTATTTTCATCAACGATAGACTTGCCTGTTGTTCGTTTTGCCGAATTTGTAAAATTGCCATTTGAGTTGAGAAAGCGTGGCGGTCAAATAATTTAATGTATCTCAGCTTTTACTCAAGTTTGCTGCTTGGGCAGCTACTGCACTGCATCTTCGGCACAGACCACAAACTTTACGAATGTGTCTTCGCTTGGCCCAAATGTTATTATGAAGTTCTTCCAACAAAAGGGTGCATCTCCAGATTTCTCTTCAGTGGCACATTTCCTCTGGGGGGTTGAGATGACCTATCAAGCATAAATGTGAATTAAGGGTGAACCATATGGAGGCAGTGACAACATTGCCGGTTGGTGACCGGAAGCCAGACTGTAATAGTTATGACAGCCTCTCAGCTAGCTATTGTTTCAGATGAATTTTAAAGTGCACAGCAGATGGACTGTAATGTAGGCCATGATTAGCATCAGTATTAAGAGCCTTGTAACTCACACTTACTCACACAAGCTCATCTGGGTTATTACACTAAGGACTGCTGTGACCTTAGAAATTCCATTCCCACTCCTCTTATTCATCCACCTTAGTTAAAATATTAAGCGAGTTTACTTGCAAATATAACATCTGTAATTTAATTGAACTCTGTCGGACATTGCTTTCGGGACTGACCGTTATCTGTCCTTTTAAAGCGGAAGCCTTTAAACCTCAGATGTTCACAAGCTTGGCAATGTTAATTAACGGCACAGTGCTTTGTTGTTGGGGTTGAACCCTATCGAATCATTTGGGTTGGCGAGCATCGCACAAGACATTCAATACAACGTATAAGCCAAGCTTTCTTCACAAAAAAAGATCTCTCGATTACAAAATACTTGCTCAGCCATCCGTCCATCTTTTCATCCTACCATTTCTCATTCTGTCTTTTATAAAAGAGTCTTATTTGAAAGGTTTATAACTTAGTTCCTTTACCAAACCCATTTTATAAGAGTGAATGTACGTAGCTAGCTGGCTAGCGGGCTATCTGGCTAGCTGTCTGTCTATCTATATTTGTTAGAGATGGATATAGATAACATATTTTGCTCTATGGCGGTGACATCGGTTTTTAAAAATATGATGGTCCGTCAGGTTTTTCTATTTCCTTACCGCAAGGCCTTTATGGACTCCACGTTGATGGGCAGGTCGCACCGATGCAAAGACCACAGGCTGTTTTATGCAAAATTCCAGAGAGATAGATGTGGAGACAAATGGATTCAGTCATGCAGCGAGAGGGAGGAAATCCATGCTGAGGTCTATTATTTTCAGCAGGTCTACACATACAGACATATGCAATGACATATTACAAGAAGGTTCCCTGTAGTAAACCTGCAACACTTCACACTTCTTGAAAAGATGCATGACACAGATGGTTTTGTTGTGGTGTATTTGGCAGTCTGGACCACATCATCTCCGCCTGAAACACTCCTCACATTTGATATACTGTACATTCTTTTTTTTGCTTGCATTTGTTTTACATTTTAATCACTTTCAAATTCACTTAATTCAGCCCAGCTTTCAAAGACAAGTAAACTTACAGGAAGTATACATGAGGAGGAAAATAGTTAAAAAACAAAAACAAAAAGTTGATTCAACCAGACATCACACTGTGATATCGTTCTTCTCTAATCTCAGTAGCCTGCCCCCTGGGTGCAATAACAGTTTATTATACCTATCCTCACTTTATGGCCCCCTACCCCCACCTTCCTTTCAAGTGTTATTGAAAACACCCAGATCTGCCATATATCATTCCTGAGCAGCACATTATGCTATGTGCAACCAAGCTAATCACTAGCGCCTCGTATGGGCATGATGCAGGTCACATTGGAAGAGTTCTGCATAGATTTGGAGCTCGTGAGACGCAATTCAATATGTCGCTATAGATTGTCATAACAAATTGTTGTCCAAATGCTGAGAGAGGCAAGAATTCACACGACGTTTAATCTTCATCGAAAAGGCGTTGATTGTGTGGACGCGATTGTTGATTAATTGCACCACTTGGGTGTGACCAGCAGTGATGATAACTTTGAGTTTGCTTGCATCAAATATGTTCACGATATCTACAGTACATGTTTATAAGATAATGATAGAAAAACAAACAAAAAAACAACAAAAAAAAAAACGAAACTCCATCGTGACTACATGACTACACAACCTCTGATATAACGAACTGAACTAACACTGTTATGTCACTCTTTGTTTCCACCAGTATGTGCCGGTACGGAGAACAAGCTGAGTACGCTGTCAGACCTGGAGCAGCAGTATCGCACCCTGAGGAAGTACTACGAGAGTTGTGAAGTCGTAATGGGCAACCTCGAAATCACAAGCATCGATCGCAGTCGAGACCTCACTTTCCTCAGAGTAAGGACCGAAAAGCCGATGCCGTGACATCATTGTGAAGTGCGCTCATGTCCGTGTGCTTGAAGTGGTCATACTTTGTGCATTGGATATCAGCAAATCAGCGTATCTTATTATGAATGGGTACAGAAAAAAAATGTTTAAGGTTTATTTTGGGACTGGGTGAGGTCATCATTCTGATACTTGCATGTCTACACCAGAATGCTCTACAATAGCTGGTGCCTTGTCAGTAGCTTTTCGCCGTTGTTTATTAAGAACAAAGCATTTCACGGGGAAAGAAAATGCGTCATTGTTACCCCATTGTCATTTTTTTTTTTTTTTTTTAATTGAACAAACTTAAACTCTGCCTCCGAGCGATAGTTGTTGTGCTTTGATGCTGAATCATCTACCACTTGAATGCACCACTTTGTTTTGATGGACACGCATGCAACTGTGGCGACGGGTGATGTCAGCGCCGAGCCCTTCAGGACAGGCGCGGATAATAGTGTGGTGATGAGAGGTGTGGAGGAGGCAGCAGATGTCATCGGGTGGATATTTGCACGAAGAAAAATGTTATGCGTTTCGGGGGGAATGCAGCTGCTCATATTAGCCTCTTAACCCTGAACCTTCCAACATTATTCCAGCCCATGTTTAGCGCTCTGTGCCCCCGCTAGCATTGTCCCACTTTAATCAATTCCAGCATATCTAAAGGGTGGAAATGTTCCCTTGATGCTACGCTATACGTACTTGCTACATTAATAGGCCAGCATTACTTTATGAATCACCTGGGCTTTGTTAGTTCACCGCCGTGGTAATCTGTGTTGTCATACTTTGCCATGTTTTGTACTGACCGAACACACCCCCCACCCGTGATGCAAAATACAACGGAGAAATGAAGTGCATAATGGATGATGAAGTGCAACTATTAGACCCCCGTGGTTGTAATTGGCCTCAGTGATTGAGATCAGGGATCATGAACCACTACACCGCAGATCGGTACCGGGCCTTGAGCCGTTCACTACTGGCCTGCACAGAGCAACTGAACAAAAACTATTTTATTGATCATCACATTAAAGTGTTTTTTTTTTTAATATCAAAACACTTGCATGCGATGCAGTAAAAAAAAAAAAAAAAGCAAGCCAACAAGCTTGGGAAAAATTTATTTTACAGTTATTGTTCAGGCCTTTTGCTATATAACAAAGATATGAGCTGCTCTCAGCCACAGCTCAAGCCCTGCCACTCACGCTCAGGAAAGGTTTACATCAGGCTGATGATGTAGTATCGTGCATACTGTATCGGATGTTTCTTTTGGTATCGGTGCATCACAAGTCTATACTGTGGCTTTCCACCAGTAGCGGGTGGCTCTGCAACGTGTCCTTCACAGTCACTGTACATACTTGGATTTCTACCATTTCCTATCGGAGTTGTGAACACAAATAATGCTCTACCAAAGAACCCGTGCTGTATTTTCAGATGTTATAGAAACTCGATCCACTTCACGCCTGCTTACTCTTCACACAATGTAGCATTCATTTCCAAAATGACTCCCTCTGGCACCACCTTACAAGGTTTCTGCACCTTTTCATCGTGGGCAATTAACTTGGGTTAATTGAACATGCTAATAAAGAAGACAGGGTGCCAGGCAGCAGGGGAGCAGGGGGGGCAGGGTTCAGTGTATCTTTAGGAATGTTATTATTATTATTCCCAAAAAAGTAATAACATGGCTCCCCGGGGGAGGATGAGACCTTACCTTGAGATAGAGGAGAACCAGCTAATGTGAAACGGCACGCATACTCGTCGTGTCTTGAAGGTGATTGAAACTGATGCCTGGGCTCCTTTTTTTTTTTTTTAAAGATATACCAAAGATGGATGGCTGCCTCCCACTACCCCCCAAACAGCTTTTACCAGCAAACAGAGTCCATCTTCCAAACTGCCTCCACAACAGATGAGTCAACGCTCGCCCTTTGATTAATAACTAGATTGCAGCGCAGAGCTTTTCAGCCCGCTTTCAATAGATGCAATTCAATATCCACCAACAGTGAGTTTTAACTGCGGATATTTGTCAAGCGAATCTTTTCCCCATATCGTTAATTAGATGTGGTGTACTGTACCATATTGTGATCCCATACCTTTGTGCACTCATCCGCATTTGGTCATCGAGATGACACTTTACAGTTGAGCATTTTCGATTGTGACATTTGAATTTTGTCATTGCTATTCTTCGCTGTTTGATGAACAGAACACCAAAAGTGGTAAACGCACACTTGGGTGTCTCTTTTCCCACTTGTCACTTTCTGCGTGCGCTCCAAAGCAGATCCGGGCATATGAAATATTCATGTTTCCTTCTCTTTGCCCTTGTTGGTCTCAGGAGGGAGCCACAGTTAGATTAGATGATTCGTCATCCCTTGCAAACATTAGTAAACATGTAATTTTTACTCTGTGCATTAATGCTTTGATGAGCACATTGCCAGCACGTTTCTTACCACTGTTCTGCAGCTGTGAAATAAATGGATATCTTGACACAGGGACATATTTTGTATCTGCACCGAGCATTTTTTAAAATCTGTACGTTTTCACATAATAAAAAAAAAAAAAAAAAAATCAAAATAATCAGGTCATATACTGTATTATCATTTAGGCCAGCTCTAGCATTTAAAATCCCAATATGTTGTGACCCCATTTCTTTCTTCTTCATTGTCCTTGCCTTTGTCCCGCTAAATCATCTTAGGTATTATTTAAAGTCGATAAAATAATGTGATGATGCCAAATTTTAACATGTGCATTGGCCTCATTATTCGGATGTGCAACACGAAACCGATTTACTTAAAACAAGATGAGCATCATGAACTGCTTTATTGCAGACTCTTTCAATTTTCATCAGCTCTGCCCATTTTACCGTACCGTTCACATTTTAGTGTACATTTGATGAGAGGAAGGAAATTGAAACTGCATTGACCTTTTTAGGTCAGAATTTGAGCTTACTGGGCTTCTATAATAATAATTTAAAACAAATCCAAACAATAAATCAACCACTAAAACGTTTCTTGTTTCCTTTTTTAAATTTTTTTTTAAATTTGTGAATTCAACAATGGGTCTTTTAAGATTTTCTACAAACGTGTATTAACAAAAAAAATGTATTACCTAAAAAAAAAAGTATTAACAGGAAATGCTGCTAAGTGCTGTTGTAGCATAAACAGTAAACTGGCAGGTGTTCTCATGCATTTATTAAGCATTGATAATACATAAATGATCGGGACATGGTGGCGGGGAGAGGGGGTGGGTTTGCTTCTCCCATACAGCAAAAGGCATTGTAGAATATAAGTGTGCACAAACAATGGACAGATCTACTTTTTTCACACTTGTATTATTGTTATAGTCCTACAGTAAATTACATACAACAAATAGAAATTGTTATACGACTGGAAACTGGAAATTTGTTTCTTCCCTCACTGGGATGAATCAGTGATCAAGCCAGAGAATAGGCCCCCCCACTTCTGTTGTATTCTTTTTATATGGCACTCAATAGTACTTATGTAAACTTGACCCTTCCCTTGATCCAGCTATCATAGTGTTGCCGATGGAACCACTCCAGTGAACCAGTGGACAGAAGCACTCGATGTGGTTTGAGGTAAAAAGGGGGGGGGGGGGGGGGGGGGGGTGTTGGTACACAATGCCTCAAAAGGCACACAAGCCTCATGAAGTCTGATGTCAGCAAAACTTTTCCCACCATTAAATTTGCCCTCGAACCTTTACAACTCAACTGAAATGTTTGAAAAATATTTATTGACTAAAAACCAAACAAACGGCGATAAAGTGGTTGCACAACTGAGCACGCCCTCAGAACCAGAGCGTGACTGTCTTCAGAATTAACCAATCCCATTTAAAGTCGGCGTTTCCTGACGTTTGTTTTGCTTTCTTGCAGAAGCCCGAAGGTGTTTGTGCGACCAGTGACTGCTCGTTGGAAGCGTTCGGAATTTCTGGCGGAGGTTCCCGGCTACAGCTGAAGAAAAAGATTGTCAAAGCAGGATGCTGTTGCCGCCAAGCTTCACTGTAGGTATGGCGTTCCGTTGATGAGCAGTGTTGTGTCTGTGCCAAGGTTATTATAGTTCATGAAAAGAAATGCATTTACGAAAATTTGGAAAAATATTGTCGTGAAAGAGAAAAAAAAAAGTCATGAACTACAATTTACATTGAGAAAATGAGAACTAGAATGATTGCGAAACGGTTCTTTGTTTTCAATCTATCCATCATCCATTCTTTTTTAAAAAATGGAAAAAAAAAACCCAAAAATGAAAACTAATAAAAACTTTACTAAAACAAAGCTTTGTTGAGAAAATAAAAAAAACTAACTTGCTTTAAAATCAATTAAAAGTAATTGAATTTGAAAATCTGAACAAAACAAAAAATAACGATCGTACAAAAAAAATGCCTTCAAACCAAACATACCTGTTTCCCGACAAAAGCCTTCATGTGAAAGCGATGGGTGCCGAATGCTAATTTTTCCATTCATCCTAAATTAGTTTAGGGTTGAAAAAAAAAGTTCTCCACTGTTAAAATCCATAAAACTTTCCCGACAAAAGCCTTCATGTGAAAGCGTTGGGTGCCGAATGCGAATTTTTTCATTCATCCGAAATTAGTTTAGGGTTGAAAAAAAAAGGGGAAAAAAAAAGTTCTCCACTGTTAAAATCCATAAAATGAGTAAAACCGAGCTTTCTGAGTGAGTGTTGAATAATGAATTGTGAATAACGGCCGTTTGAATTCCAAAGTTTTGTATCATTAATTGCCTTGCAAATTTTGATGAAATCCTGCCGTGTATCATCTCAAAGGTTTCCAAATTGAAGAGGTTCAACCGATTGTCCAGGCGTGATGCCTTTTCTCGCGCTTTTAAATTTGTAAAGCCCCGTCACATTTGATGCGAGCTTTGAAATAGCATTTCAACCTAATGCTTGGAAATTGTGATGCCTGCCTTTTGTATTGGGGAAGTGGTTATTCAACGCGTCGAGCCCAGTATATGAGGTGTCTTT